TGCTGACCTCTTCTCCCTGGTATCCAGTGATAGGATGCGTGGGAACAGTTCAAAGCTGCACCAGAGGAGGTTTAGGCTGGACATTAGGAAGCATTTCTTTACTGAGAGGGGTCATTTTTAATATTAGGCTCCTAATATCTGCTCTGAGCACTCTCCACATTGTTGTACTAATGACAATTGAGCATTGGTACCCTGAAAAATGTTAGGCTAAAGATAACTCAGTAAGCAAACACTGCAGGAAAAGATTTATATAGAATTTTAACGGTGGTTTTGTAAACGGGTGCCTTCACTTGCTGCAATGATGGCAGTGAGTCACAGGGAAAGGAGCGAGGGGAGCTGAGTTGCTGTGGAGATGCCCTGGGAGCACAGGGAGCTCCTGCAGCTCTGCGTCCCTCCTCAAGGGTTTGTCGCTATTTACGCGCAAAAGCTCATCAGGCAGCTCCAAGGGCAACGACGCCTACTAGTAGAAAATGCTCATTGATTCCCCCATTGCCCCTAAAATATCTGAGGAAGAGCAGGATGGGGAGGAAGGTGCTTCTCTCTTGCCCTAAAAATTATGGTGACTGCAGCAGTGACAAGCTGGGCCTGAAAGACAAAACATCAATAGGTTTGTAACCCACTCCAATAACTGTGAATTTGATTCACTTGGGACAGCAAGAGGTTTGCGATTCCCTTGCAAAAGGGCAATGGCGTCTGGCAGCAGCCTGTATGGAAATGCTAGTAGTAGAAGAAGGGTGGCAGCAACCAGAGCATCACCTCCTCCCCACCAGCCTGCCCAGCTTGGCTTTCTGCATCCTTCTCCTTTTGCTGTCTGTCCCTGTATCACCCTCTCCCTCTTCTCTGCCATCACTGGGCAGCCTGGGGGCATAGAGAGCAGCTGCCTTGGCGCTCCCAGGGAGGAGGAGTCCCTGCAGGAGGGCCCTGTGGCCCTGCCAGGAGGCGGCAAACTGTCCCTGTGGTGGCCATTGCCTCCCCTCTCCATCCCCAGCACTACACACGGCAGCCCTCCCTCCTTCCTCAGCAGCAGAAAATGAACTGGGTCGGTGGCAGCCGGTGAGTGAAACTCTTGAAAGGCTGCCAGAAATGGCTACATGCTGAGCTAGTGTCCCCTCACAGACCAGGTGCAGCCATGGTGCCTGTGACAGCCTTGGTGTCCCCCCACAGACTGGGCACAGCCATGGTGCATGAGACAGCCCTGGTGTTCCCTCACAGACCGCACATAGCCATGGTGTGTGAGACAGCCCCGGTGTCCCCTCACAGAATGGCAGGGCCACAGTGTGTATTTCAGGCCTGATGTCCCCTCACAGACCAGCAGGCCATGGTGTGTGTGACAGCCCCAGTGTCCCCTCCTGAACCAGACTGTGTGAGGAGATGCAGATGCCCTCCCACACCAGGCAGGGTGGGTCATGTTTGGGCCTAGTATCTCTCTGCAGACTGGGGCTGGGTGAGGCTGTCCCGCCTGGGCCTTTCCTCACGCTCTCACGAATGGCAGTGATTACCATTTGGGGAAAAAGATGTACAGTTATTGAGATTCACTGAAATAGTAAAATAATCACCGAGTTGTAACATTAAAAAAAAAGGATAATGCTCAGTTTCTTTAGCTGCTGTGCCATCTGCCTATCTACTAGAAATTTAAACCCCACAGATTTTGTCAGCCATTTGAAAGTAGCTTTGCTAAACACAGCTTTATAATCATCCTGACTCTTTGCAGAATCAAACTAAAATAATGCCTTACCCATCTGGAAGTCTTCCCAGCAAAATGAGGTTTCTGAAAGTTGCTGATGTGAAGCAGGGGGAAGGGAGAGCTTCAGTTTGGAAAAAAAAAAACCCAACCCCAACTTTGTCCTAAATGCCTGTCTATCATACTATTCTGCCTGTAAGAAAAAGCAGCATGTAGGAGTATTGCATTCACTTAGCAAATAGCAAACCTTCCTGCTGCTTTCTGCTGCTGTTAATTATCTGTCAGGATTCCTTGGGTGAGTCTGGGATTTGCATTTTAGGTGTCAGAAAAAATATCCATTACTGGGGCTTCTACCCACTGCAAATATAACTGTAATGTGCCTATGTTTAGAAAGTGTGTTCTAACTTTAAGCACAGTAAAAAAAAAAAAAGTAATTCGAAGGAGGTACTCCATATTTCTAACTCTCAATAAAAAAATCTTACTGACCCAAGGATTGCAGCCATGCTCACCCTGCTCACAGCAGTGACCCAGGGCTCCAATTTTATGCACCATGTCCTGTAGGCAATTCATTTAAGACTATGTTTAACAGGTGAGATATGTAGTTTAAGGTATAACTGTCTCCTATATTGCACAAGCAACAGCAACTCGATAAAACTTGTAATGACAATCTATTGTTCTTACCTTTTTTACAAAATGTTCACAATATTCTGTAAAGTCCCAAAAGGTAGAAACTGATACTGTGCTCCTTTGTTTTCTTTGCTAATATGGTTTTGTAACTATGTTGCAGCATGACAAAAAAAAAAAAAAGGAGAAATGAATATATTGACAAAGATTTCTTATAATGTTTTAATAAATTAAGAATTGATGAAAAGTTGCATTACAGGTGAAATGCCTAAAAGCTTTTCCTTCTGAATGTTCAATGTATTTGGTAGCCCTAAGATAGAATGAGGTCCTATCCTTACCTGAATAAACCACGATCAAAGTGACTTCAACAGAGATATGTTGACTTTACTACCTGAAAGTTTGATCCATTATAACATAACATAAAAGATAACATAACATAACATAACACAACATATTTGCGTCCTAAATTCTCAATACCGTTGATGAGAAATTCAAGCCACAACTCAACTCAATACTTTTACAATTAAAACAATAATTATTTGCATCTTTCAGAAGCAGAATCATATTAAAGCAGGAAAGGAGAAAGCAAAAGGTAAACAGTTCTAGCCATCTTGGATTTTAAATTGTTATATAAATGCTTTAGTTGATTCACTTAGGAAAAACTTTCAAAGCATTTGGAGTAAGACTCAAAACTGTAGCGTAACAGTTGTAATGTGTGACTGCATGTAACTTTTAGGGCAGAAGTCTTGTTCTAGGTTTACTACACTGAATTCCAGCAGGAAGAGGAGGGAGTAGGAGAAGGCATGAATGAATGAATGAATGTGCCCAGTTTAAGTTTTACTGAATTACTTCTGTTACTATATTTTGTTGGTATGTGCTGACACACAGGATTGCTTGAAGCCTCACAGTGACAACCATGTGGTCAGCTAGCCTAACACTTACACAGCTATTTTTCTGGGCTACATAAAAGAATGTTAGGCTCATTGAAGTACTTTATGCTGGCATTTGCAAAAGTAGGCCAGCTTATTTGTATTTTGAATCTGAAAGTGAAATAATAGAATTAAATTTATCCCTGGCATAGCAGAAGACATTTCAAACAGGAAAGAGAAAGAAAACAGTAAGAGAAGATAGATATAACCATAGTAAGAGAAGTCAGTTTCCTCCTCAGCAGCTGGGAAAAAAGAGACAGTATAGGGAAACTCCACCACCGAAGCTGTGACCCCCCAATGCCCAGAGCAGATGCACTGGCATATACAGGAGGAGGAAAAACAGGCTGACGGTACGGAGACAATCTCTGAAATGAAAACCTTTATCTAAGGGAATGTGGGACCAACCAGCAGCTTGTTGCCCCCATTGCTTTCCCAGTCTCCTGGAGGCCTGCGAGTTCTCAAAATATCTGTTTTCTTAGGGATTTATTGTTCTAAGCCACATAATTTACATTACAACTATGTAATTTGCTTCAGTGGAGGGGAGAAAACAGAAAATGATCTAAGACAGGATTGTTTTTAGTAATTTAGTACTAAATTACTAAACACAGTGGTAATTTTGTAATTGCTATTACACAATTAATAGTAATTTAGTAATTTAGAGGTGATGGGAAGAAAAATATCTGGGACAGTGAAGGGACACTGCATTTTGGGGGTGTGGACTCCAAAGCAATATGAACTTTCAAGTGTTGATTTGTACATAGGCTGAATTTACCTTACTATAGATATTCTTTTTAACTGAAGAACAGGTATTTTCCATAGATGATAATATCCTAGAAAGCTAAAGATTGTGATATAATAAATTATACTGGAAAATAGTTACCAATGAACATGTTGGGTATATTAGTTACATGTAACCTGCAATCACAAGAGGAATTGCATTTCAGAAGAAAAGCCAGTGCTATTTTGTGTTTTGGCATAGCCTTCAGTTTTCAATATCCTTCTTGTGGTTAAAATCAGGAAATCATACTGTTTTTATTTATTCATCTGCTGTGCTTGATGCTAATGATTTTAGAGTGATTATTAATAGTATCCTACAAAATGGAGATTTTTATTTCCTAAATTTTCCATAATTATCTGCCTGATATATTCAAAGTGTCAGTCATATCTCTTTTTATTCCTTGTGATAAAAAGCCTTTCTGAAGTCCCAGCCTTAGAGATTTTTCTTCTTTAGCTTTTTCTCTTTTTTTTTTTTGTCACAAGACTGTATTCTGTGTCGAGAAAGACAAATTTGGAGAACAATAAATTCTTTGTGTCATTATAGATGGCTGTGTGTATGTAATCTTGTTGATTTATTTGCCTAATAGTTTACAAGCTGCCTAAAAAGCCCAAGTTTAAATTTTTTTAAGACTTTTTCCTTGCAGCATTTTGGTCTGTCTTTTAGTTTAAAGAAATATCTTTAACGATCATACACAAAGTTTGAGGCATGACTGTTTGAGGACTAAGTTTTTGGCATTAAGACAACAGTGATTTATTTCGAATATGACCAAATTATACTTGCAGTCTTTTTCAAGGAAATGAAAATAAACTAAATAATAGTAGACAGGGTGTGAGAATTCAGAGAGATTTAATCATGTGCTTTTATTATTAGGAATTGTTTACTAAGAATTATATATGCTGCTAATATGTTGTTGAAGCTTCTGTCAAAAACTTATTCTCTCTTTTAAAAAAATTAGGAATTCTTTGAAAAGAAGAAACTTAAATCAAAGATGAAGCTTCTGGGAGTATCATCTCCTAAAAGTTCAGCAGTCAGTTTAGATCTCCTCAATCTCTATGTTGTTAACCAGATATCAACCAAAAAAGACAACACCGGTGAGTTTAGTGTGACAGTGTTCTGACTCCACAGTTAACAGTATCAGTTATCCTTAACTATTACTGCTATTATTTTAGTTCTTGCTCTTCCACTTATAACTTAATGCTCAAATAAGTGTTGTTTTATTTTTAAAATAAAAATTTGTAAGTAAATACAAAAATTATGATTGAATAAAAAGTCAGGACATAAGAGGAACCAAATAACTTTGGCTACTGCCTACTTCACCTTCAAAGCCTTGTACACTTATGCACCTTTCTCATTCCATCCGTTAATTTTATTCTACATCCATTTCTTTTTCCCTTTGCCATTGAATGCATCCATTTGTATTCCATGCCCTTTTTCATAACTTTTGGGGGGCATTTGGAATAGTCTGTCAGTTCTACCCAGAGTATCTTTCTTAAATTCCATTATTAAGCTCCTAAAAACACTTCTATAACTTGAGTCCTAACTCTTATCCTCTGTGACATATTCATAAACCAGATTGTGGAGAATTTGTTGTCCTATGCTCAGGAAGATTAGAAGGTGACTGAGGAGGGCAACAGAGCCTGTCTACACACAGCAGCTGACCGTAAATAATTTCATACTATAATGCCATTTAGAATAGAGTTATTGCATTGCTAGTAACAAAGAAAGCAAAAATATGGCTTTAAATGGATTAAGAAACCTAAAACAACAGCTTTTGTACTCTAATGAAAATTCACGAAGCTCAAAACTTTCTCCAAGCCCAGCACTGACATTCCAAACACTTTCATTGCAGAGAACATCAGGAAGCCAGTCCACATTGATATCACTGAAGATGTAAAAATACCTGTTAGGAGGCACAACATAGAGCTTCCCATGTCACCACTATGTACACAACTTACGTCAAACTTAGATGACATCCAGAACAGGTACTTTTATAAAAGTGGCAGTAGTTAAGCTATAATGAAGTTCTGGAAAAGGTATTTCATGATGTTCTTATATTTGGGGTATTAAGTAAATGTAAATATACCATTCTAAGATGAAGAGGTTTCACAATCACTCCTGGCATTCCAGTGATACTCTTACTATGAGAGAGTAAATAAATGTATTCTAAATAAAAAACTGTACATGAAGCGGAGAGTTTTTTAAAAAAAATAACATTTCTTTACTCATATCAGGTACATACACTAAGTTTATCTCACACAGCAGGCTATTCAAACAGCATTTTCCACTTACACTGTTTTCTCATCCAACTTCAGACACCCTAAAGTGACTGACTCACACACTGGCTGCTCATAACTGCTTAAGAATCAGGCCTTTTTAAGATGTGAGGAAAAATATTCTTAAAATATTTTGAAATTAATACTCAGAATGTTTTTAATCTTACAGCTCTTGTATCTTGTATTTCATGGGCTGTTTTTATTCATTTTACAAGGTTACAAGAGCAAGTATTGGACAGCAGAAGGCAGCATCTTTCAGAGAAAGTAAAATACCAGCATAATGTAAGTAAGTTTATTTTTCTCATTGATGCAAAGCTAAAAATGTGCAGCAATGACTATTTTTAAGTGATTTTTCAAAGAGTGACCAAATCTCATGGATACTGAAACATGTGAAGTTTTCCTCTTTAAGGCTATACTGATATGTTATTTGTCAGTCATATTTTATATTTGTTCCTGCTATTTCTTACACGTTTCTTGAAAGGCTCACCTTGTTTTAGGCATTTTCCAAAATACTTAAGAGTATCTGTGCTCTAAGCTAGTTAAAAAGGACAGAGATTATGGGAAAGAGACCGAGGCAACAGCAGGTAAATTAAAAACAATACGCAGAAATGTGAAATGATGACGTGAGAAGCATAGACAGAAGTGAGTCTTTAAGAGGAACTTAAGTACAAGTCTCAGTGGATACAATTGGGAAGTTCATACACTTATTGAGGTTACAGCGAAAAACATTCTCTAGATGCAATTTAGGCTTTTTTTTATGACCCATTCCACTGTTGTGTAAAAAAACTAACCAAACAAAAAACCCCAACCAAGTTAGTAAATCTGTTAGAAGACACTTAGTTTAGGTTACTCAGACTTGCTTGGTAATATAGCTCCACTGACTCCTGCTATTCATATCAGATAGGACTCTGAGGAAAACATGCTTGCAGAGGATGCTTGCACAGTATTGTTCTGTATGTTCTTGGCCCATTCATGCCAAGCATGCTTTGGCCCAACATTGCCAAAGCATGTTTTGCTAGAGTGAGAAAGTCAGATGGTTTTCTAGTGTTAGAAGTTCCTTTCTTTTGAGTCAGGAAGAATTACTTAGTATGGGTGAAAAGTTTAGCTGTCTAATGTGTTTCAGCCAAGATCACCATGAGCTGCCACTAATTTTTTGGATGTCACATTAAGTCAGCCTTCCTTTATGACTCTTTTTCATCTGTTTCTTGAAGACAGAAAGGACATATTTCAGATTTAGCATGGCCAGAAAAAATGGATCAAAATGATAGCTAAGTTTCTCCTCAACCTCCACTTGTGTGGATAGATTTATATCAGTTCATCAAAACATGTGATAATGCAGTGTGCACACACAGAAAGCTAATTTAATGTATGGATCAAAAAATGAAGTCTAAGGCCTGTATGTTGCAAAGAGCTGTTTTTAAAATCTTCATAAGTTGAACTATATCCGATTTAAGTAATTAAGATATTTTCACTTTATTAAGCAGAAAGAGGGGCTATAAAATTCATAATTTTCAGCTTTCTGGAAACATACAGTTTTGTGGTACAAAGATTTTGTGCGATTCATGTACAAGGCTTTTGCACTCCATTAGTAGTTTGTACTGCTTTCACTGGATAAGCTGGATTACAGGCATTACTTCCATGTAGCTGTGGATACAGTGACAGTACATGAGTTTTGCCTTCAAATTTCTCTTTGTGTTCTGATCTGCTTGAGATAGCATTGTTGGTATCACAACATGCTGGAGTCCTCTCCTCAATGGAGTAAAATATTTTTCATTTTACTACTTAAGAACCAAGTCAGCAGATCATTTACCTACACGTCTAAAGCTAAAAATGTGTTTATACCCATCTCTCCTAAGGATAACATTTGTGTGCATGCTTCAACTTAAGTAGGTACTTATGTGTTTCCCTGAAACAGGCCCTTATTACCATATGTTTTTCATGAAAAAATCGTATCAGAATACATGAAAATTTTCTCTTGCATGTGATATATGTGCAGAGATGTAAAAGATATAGAAAGGTTTGATTACTTCAAACATTATGCTTACATCAAAACAGTTTTAGATAAATAAAATGTCTCTTTACTATGTTTTGTCTAGTTATCACAAGTAACAGAATTAACATATGCTGACTCTAGTATGGATCATGAAGACAACATAGCAAGAGCTTTTAGTGCCTGTCCATTGTCCTCTTCTGTTTTTTGGTCCTCTAACTGTACACAACTTTCAGAAGAGAATTTCAGCACAAACCTAATGAGCAACACTTGGGAACAGACCTATGAAGAGAAGCTGCAAAACCAGGTTTGATTAATATTTTGTAATTTCCGCAGAATTATTTTAAACTATCTTTAATTTATTTGGGGTGAAGAATTAGTGTAATGGTGAAGATAATTATGAATTATCAACATTTCTTGTAGGCTGGTGGCAATGAATATTCCATATATGCAAATATATTTCTTTTGTTGTTATGAAATATGCTTAACTTGAGCTTTTATTCACTGAGGTCTCAGTATCGCCGATACCTGCAGAAAGAGAGTTAGTCACATACCGCTGGCTTTCTTTTGTTTCTGGCTTGTAAAGTTGGTTAAAGAAAGCTGAAATGTATTACAGTTATAAATACAGTTTTCTTAAATGTACAATTAGTATAACTGGGTATCATATGATTCCAGTTGATCACCGTGACCTAATTTGTAATCATGCAGTGTCTCAGTGAGTAACATAGTTCTTACAGTATTCTCAATTCTCCTAAAAGGATTGAGAAAAGCCTGCTGTTTAACTCGTTAAGTTTAAGAAATGATTGAAAGTTATTTGTTCTGATGCTTGTTACTGTTTTTTTTCTTTTTGTTAGCTTTGGGATTCTTAAAAGAATCATCCTTAGAAAAGTAATAGCAAGTTATAAGGTGGCTCTCATAATACATTTTATTTTTAGAAAATATATTATTTATTGAAAATATTAAAACAAATTCTACGTGTATCACCAGTAGTATTTCAAAGTCTTGAAGTAATTGAGGAAGGAGTACTTCAGGACTTCAGTAGGGAAGATGCTGGGTTGTTCAGGGAACAGGTAGGCAGAAACCCACAGGAAGCTGACCAGAAGGACAAAGGAGCCCAAGAAAGATGTTTTCAAAACACAAGGACAGTCCACCTCAATGTGCAAGAGAAAGTAGGTCCTGGAGGCCAGTTTGGCTGAATCAGGGAACTCGTGACTGAGCTCAAATGCAAAAAGGAAGTGTGCTCAAATGCAAAAAGAAAGTGTGGAAGGGGGGATAGGCCATCCAAGAAGAATACAGAAGCATCCCCTGAGCTTAGAGGGGTGGCATTAGGATGGCCAGAACTAAAATTCACAAGGGGTGAGAAGGGCAGCAAGGAGGACTTCTATAGGTATGTCATCAGCAAAAGGAAACCAAGGAAAATGCTGTCCACTGCTAAATAGAGTTGATGACCTAGTGACAAAGGACATGGAAAAGTCTGAGGCACTCGAGACCTACATTGCTTCAGGCTTTTCTGACAAGGTCTGTCCTCTGGCACATCTTCAAGCTCAGCAGAGAGTTTAGGGGAGGGTGGTGCAAAACAGTAGTGAAGGAACAAGTTAGGGAATCCTTAGTAACCTGGACATAAATACATGGGACTGGACAGGGTGCATCCAAGTATATTGAGCGAGTTGGATGACACCACTGCAGGGCAGATGTCTATCATCTTTGGAAGACTGTGGTGATCAGGAAAGCTCCTCAGTGACAAGAAATACACGTTATGCCCATCTACAAAAATGTAAGCATGATCTGAGGAAGTATCAACTCACCTCTGTCTCTGAAAGGATTATGGAACTAGACCTCCAGAGGCAATTTCAAGGCACATGAAGAACAAGAAGGTGACTGGGAACAGCCAGCATAGATTTACCAATGCCATACTCTACCTGATGAACCTGATTGATTGCCTTCTGTGATGAAATGACTAGCTCTATGAATAAGGGAGAGCAACCGATACTATTTACCTTGACTTTAGGAAGGCTTTTGACAAGGTTTCCCATGGGATCCTAGTAGCCAAAGTGTGGAGGTATGAACCAGATGAGTGGACAATAAGATGGGTAAAAAGGAACAGCCAATAGATTTACCAATGCCATACTCTACGTGATGAACCTGATTGATTGCCTTCTGTGATGAAATGACTAGCTCTATGAATAAGGGAGAGCAACCGATACTATTTACCTTGACTTTAGGAAGGCTTTTGACAAGGTTTCCCATGGGATCCTAGTAGCCAAAGTGTGGAGGTATGAACCAGATGAGTGGACAATAAGATGGGTAAAAAACTGGCTGTTACCATCATGCTCAAAGTAGTTGTCTGTGGGCTAAAGTCTAATCGGCAACAGGTCAGCAATGGCAGGGATCCCCAGAGATTAATACTAAGTCTGGTACATCTTCATTAGAGAGTTGGACAATGGGACAGAATGCACTCTCAGCACCTCAGCAGGTTCATGCATGACACCAAATTGGCAGAGTGATCATTACAGTAGCAGGGCTGCTACTTGGAGGGATCTTGACAAGCAGAAGGCCACCAGGAACTTCATAGAGTTTAACACAGAGAAATACAAAGCCCTGCACCTTGGGAGAAATAACCCCACATATCAGTGCAGGTGGGGACTGGTTAAGTAGGCAGCAATTTTACAGAGAAGGACCCGAGAGTGCTGGTGGACAACAAGTTGCACATGAGTCAGCAGTGCACCCTTGTAGCAGCAAAGGCCAGCTACACAGAGGGCTGTATTAGAAAGAGCATACCTGGCGGTCAAAGGCAAGTGATTATTTCACTCTGAGCAGCATATGTGAGAACACATCTGAAATACTGTGTCCAGTTTGGGGACCCCAGTACAAGAGGGAGATCAGCAAACTATAGCAAGACCAATGAAGGGCCACAAAAATTGTTAGGGGATTGGAGCACATGATGAATGTGGAGAGACAGAGAAAACAGGGCTTTCATAGCCTGGGAAAGAGAAGGCTATGGGGGTGTGGGGTGAAATAACTGCTGTCTTCCACAGTCTAAACAGAGTTACAGAAAGGACAGAGCCAGAGGTACACAGTGAAATGGCAAGAAGTAAAAGTCACAAGTTTCAACAATGGAAATTCTGTTTGTATAGGAAAAAAATATTGTCACAAAAGTAGCTAAGCACCAGAAGAGGCTATCCAAACAGGCTGTGGAATCGCAGTCCTGAACAATCCTGAACAATCTGGCCTAACCTTGAAGCTGGCCCTGCTTTGAGCAGGTTGGACTAGATACCTCTTGAGGTCCCTTCCAGACAACAGCTTCTATGACTATGTGATCTTCAGTGGAACTTCAGCTTGTTACAGTCTATCAAGCTTGTTCATACAATGAGAGGATGGGGTGCTAAAAGGACATTTTGCATATTAACAGTGATACACAAATATGGAAAAGTATGAGTTATACAGAACTCGGGCTGTAAGGAAGTTTTGGCTTCTACTGTAAAGACAAAAAACTGAAAATATTGGGAAAACGTATATTGTTTGCAAACCCAACTTTAAACTTTTAAACACTATAACTGTCATACATATTCAGAGTTTGACAGCTTCTACTGTTTTCTCAGCCAGGAAATAGTTCTGATCAAGACCCTTGGATTACAAAACCTCCAAGCCAGTGTATTTTCAGGAAGGCCGATACAGTGCCGCAAGAACTGTTTAAGCCATTGCATAGGTAGGCAGTGATTTTACATTAAAGAGAGAAATAACAGTCAAGCTTAAGTAAGAAAAATACTAAGATAATCTGATACTTATCACTGCTTGATTTTTCACTGATTTTTAGTGCTTTTCAAACAGCAATTGAAATTAAAGGGAAAGGCTGAACATACCGAGCTATTTAAATTTGCTGAAAGGCAGCAAAATGTGAATTTTAGGTAGACACTTGGAACCATGATCTATTTTTTGCAACGTCACACACATGATGGTGCTACTGAATTTACCCCAAGTGAGAAGCACAGATTTACTAAGAGGCCACAGGGAGGGTAGCTGCCCCAGCTCTCATTAGTTCTGGTCACTGTTGCAAGTGCTTTTCTGATGACCTTGATGCTGTAGCAATTGAGCAACTTCTCCACCTACATTGTTTACATTTGGGATTCCAGGAACAAAGCATTTTTCCCTTCTCTTTCATATGTGATCCTACTATAGTGGGTTGTTTTAGAATTGGTTCAATAATACTTTTATGAGAATATACACTTTTTTAAAAAAAGAATGGATAGAAATCTAGAGTATATTTCCTTTTGTATATGCTGATTAAAAATCTTTTTAATCACAGAGGGTTTAGGGCCAGACTCACTCATACTGAACATTTTATTTCAGTTTCTTTCCAGGGGCTCTTGCCTTGGATCTAGGGGTCTTACAGGGCTAATCTTCCTTTACTCTTTTTATTCTGTAAGTCTGCTGTCTGGTTGAAAGTTCCTATCAGTCTCTAGCTTTGGCTGGATAGAGCCATAAAAAGGCCATATATTATTTTGCTGTTCCTGAAGTACCTACAGCCTGTTCGCCTGTGAGTCAAGTGGCTGATAAGCTCACTGACCACATGATAACTAGATGAACACATCAGCTTCCAGTCCTAGCAACTTTCTCTTTCTCTCTTCTCCTAGCTTCTCCTGGCTTTCTCCAGCAAAACCTAAAACGAGGATAACATTCACCTTGCTGTATATCTTGGTGAATTCCCGATGAATATCTTCACATTAAAGCCCTACCTAACCTTATCTCGCCTACATCTCCCCTTTCATTTCTCCACAGGCCCTCAGGCCTGCACTCATCTGCTTATGGCACCTCCCTTAGTCCTCTGCCCATTCATGGCTCACTAACCACATCTGCTTTCCAACTGTTCTTCAAATCCGTTTCTTTGCATCATCCTTGTTTTGTTTTCATCCATTATAGCCATAAATTCTTATATCTCAAGAGCTGGCAGTTCTCAGGGGAAGGGAGTTTCTTTCACTGTATGTGAAAAGTAGAGTATAAACTTACACAATCGTTTAATGTAATTGTAACATATTGATGATGTAATCAATGTGCATACATCTGAGAGCTGTGGCACCTCAAGATTATTAAACATTAACTAAAAATTTTAGATGTCTTATAAAAATAGCAGATGTCTTTCACTCTGCATAGTGCCTAGCTATTTCCTCATCTACGGTTACCTTTTACTTAGCATTACAAAATGTTCAGCTGGAGTGAAGAAGGAGCCTCCGAATTGCTTCACAAAATGTTTTTACCTTCCTCATGTAGATCTATCCAAGTTTCTCCAGAAACAAACTCTAGTGTGTTTAGCCTTTTAAAACTGTTCAGGGAGGTGTTCTGTAAGTAGAGGACGCTACTTACTCATTTAAGTTCTCTAGGATCTTTATCCAGTTCCAAGTATTTGCTGAGCAATACATCACAGAATTTTTCTCCAGTAAGAGTTTTCTGTACTACATTTCAGTTTTCAAGTTCCATTGATAGTATTGCTCAAAATTTTTTAAAGAAAGGGCATTTTTTGAATTACCTTCTTTGCCAATTCTCTGTGCTTCAGAAGCCTCTCAACTTTTTGCTCATATTTTCTGAAAGGTCAGTCAGCAGATCAAGCCTAGAAAAAAGCAGCGAAAATGTTAGATTAAGAGCCAAGTAAGTGAAAGCATGACAGCTTTCATGCTAATGATGCTAGCATGATAGCATCTTCAAAACCACTACTATCAGAAGTGGGGTAGGGAAGTACGGGCAAAACAAAATGTCTGACTGGCCTCCTGAAAGGGGAACAGAAAAATCCTGTGCTGAATTAGGATTACTGACCTCAAGTACAAATGGAAGTCACTTGCTAAAGAGACCGGGAATTAAGCAGTACACGGAGCTTATTCTAGGCTTTCAGTACAGGAGAGAACTGTAGTCTTGAAGAACAAAGAATTTTTATGAACGGAAGAAGCTGTCTTCCTCTTTTTCTTTTTTTTTCTTTTCTTTTTTTTTTCCCCAAAGTGGACTTCTTTGGTCAGCTGGTGGAGCAGCAGTGACATACTGTGGCTGATTTTATAAACCACAGTTCCCTTCTCAGGAGGATGTGCTCCATGTCTTGGTATGTTTGGAGACATCATGAAACAGAACTCCTTTTAAATCAACCTTACTATAAAGTGGAAATAAAATACAGGACACTTTTTCAGTTGAAATAATGTACATTTGGGACAAAAGCAAGTGTGATGAGTAAAGTCAGATTTTTACCATCAAGTTATCATATTTTGTTGTGTTAGCAGTTAGTATTTTGCTTATTTACGTACTAAGCAAACTGTTTTTTCTTTTCTACCCTCCCCTCCAACCACAGGCTAGACTATATGAATTCTGTCAGGAATAATCCAGTGATAATGACCAGTAACAAATCAGAAAACAGTGAAGGAATAAAAGAACCATTGTTCGATGTTGTGAAAGAAACTGCAGAAATGAAAGCTCCCCAAGATGGGAGTGATTGTTCCTTTCTGGCACTGTTCAAAGATGAGAGCCAACCAAACCATAATAATCCTTCTACAAAGCATTTTAATCCTTTTGTTAACCAAAGCAGTACTGCCATTTTTTTCACTGATCCTGATGATAGAAATCAAATGACCAACAGAAATTATCCTTATGATACTAGAGAGGCTTACCCTGCAATCAGTGCAAAAAAGAGTTCTGTAGACAGACACCTTGAAGGCATTTTCACAGCTCCAGAACAGGTTTTACTCAAAAGTAACAATGCCTCAAGTGCAAGCTACAAGAAAACCAGTGGACTTCATAAAACCCACCTGCAGGACTGTCATGAGGGACAGCACTACTTCATACCCTCTGAAAACAAAGAAAAACCTGCAAACCTTGAAAAAATTGGTGAGTGTCAATATTTGAAGGATGTATATTCTGGTTTTTATTCTCCTTTTAAAGGCATATGTTTTTATAACCAGAGATGTGTCTGCCCTGACCGAAAACGTCATGAATCTTCAGAATGCAGTAATTTAATTTTAAATCCAATTATTTAAATTATTTTTAGAAGTTGACAGAAGCATTTCTTTTCAAATTGCATTTATGCTATTGCGTTGTAAAATCAAGGTTTACTTTTTTATTTTAGAGACATTTGCTTATCACCATGATCAGAGGATTAACTTAAAGGAGAATGTACAGAACTATTCAAGAAAAAAAAGGTGAGTGCCATAGAAATTATCAATCTATTAACTAGTGATAACTGCAGAGACCTTGCTGAATTGGAGAAATCCTGCTAAAAGGACATGAAGGCAAAATTCTAAACAGTATTACTGAGGACCCAAGTTTTCCCAGTGAAAATTGTAGTGAATAATGTGAAAAACTTATGCGCATGTAAGCCCTTTGTGCCATTGTTCATCTGCCTATAATAAGTATAGAGAAAGACTGCTTCATGGGGCAATTTTGAGTCCCTGAAGTTAAGCTGTTGCTCTGACTTGCCCTCTGAAAGACCCTGTCTCCTTCCACTGACTACAGAGGAAGCTAGTGTCTTCTGTGGGCTAAAGTTAGCATATGTGAGTGCCCATGTTTTACAAAAGGCGGTTTTATCAAAGACTCTGACCCATTACACCTTCCGTTTTACAAAGCAGCACTATCTTCTGTCGTCTCGCATATTACATTTTACATTTCAACAGAAGATAAGTTTGTGAAAAACAGACTCTTGATGTTAAATCTCAGGTTCAGAAATAAGTTCAATTATCTCAATAGTGGGAAGCATTTCATGGTTACTGAAGGCAAAATAAAAATTGAAGACAAAAAAGTCACCAGTAATGACTTTAATTCAGAAAGAAAATAAAAGCACAGGAGGGGAAATCACTTACCGGAGAACTCTGTGTTTGCATCCCTCAGTGATGATGAGGCTGTGAAAGAATCAGCCTGGAGACAGAACCAGCTCTTTGGATTTGAAGAGGTAACTTTTTAAAGAGACATATTTTTTGTCAAACCTACTGTTTGCACCATTCATTTGAGGTGGAGAAAGAATGTCCACAACAGTTAGAAACTGAATTTAGCTTCTCTGAATTAACTTCTGTGGAAGCTTCTTTTCCTTCCTGGTTTATACAGGGCAGCCAGAAAGAACAGCTTCTAGTTAAGTGGTTCTGATAGATAGCCCTTTCAAGTCTGTAATTCACGTGGTTTGATTCACACCTAAGCTGATGCCTGAAATATATTGTGTTACCTGTTAACCCTTAGGATCAGATTCTGCAGGCAGTGTCCAGACATTATATGCAGGACACTTCAGTATTATAAAGGAACTTTATGCCAGTATACATATAAAGAATCTTGTAGATATTTTGCCCATAGAAGTCACCCAAGTACATACAGTATTGCGCAGGGGTTTTGTACCTCTTGAAATAATTTGTGGTACGGTGCAGTGACTTCTTTATGTAATACAGAAACTGAATGTTCCTCACTTAACCTGAGGTCCTGACCCAGCTGAACCCTCACTATTAACACTTACTTATTTTTAAAAGTTCACAACAGCACAAGAGAAAGAGTATAAGTTTGGAGTGAGTTCAAATCTTCACGAGATGGAGAAGGGTTAGTACCATTTATATATTATTAAGTCAAAAATCAGATTTTTCTCTACATGTGAAACTGAAACAATTACTTTTAAAGCCAGGGAGAAGTGTTTTGATCTTTTTAGGATGTTACATTTGATGAGGGCTTGTATTTTTGATTCATGCAGCACCGTATAAAGAAGACTAGCATTACCAGGTAACTAAGAACTATCTGTATTTGCTTTCCCTTGAAGAGATAAATTCAGGTTAGCTTCTCTCTGGTGAGTATTACACACGTATTTTTCATTGTCCCATTTCCTCCAAAGTTGTCCCCTAAACTGAAAAGCCAGCTCTGAAAGTAGGGGTAACTTCTAAAAAAAAAAAAAAAAAAATCCATGAGAGAGGTCAAGAGTATTAATCTGAACACCACAACTCAAGTTTACCAACACCATCACATAGTAAAATGCCAAATAAATGCCAGTAATTTTCTTTCTTTCTATTCTTGCAGACCTCTGTTGGTTGGAAAAAATCTTGGATGTTTTCTCCCTAACCCTAACCCTAACCCCTAACCCTAACACTTTTTCATCTTCATTAGATGTTTGACATGTGCCATTTTACTGGTCTAGTCTTTATTAGTCTTTATTCTCTTCCACTAGACTATATGCTGTCATTCCACATGTGCACAGAGTGAGAGGAGTCAGCAGGGAGATCCCATGTCCTGTTTGCTCCCTCAGTAGCTGTAGGGGTCAGCTGTGCTGGCTGCATTTCAGAGCAGAAGATCTCCCAAGGGCCTCCAAGAGAAAACCATGGCCAGAAGCCCATGTAACTTGTATGGCAGCCAATGTGTGCAGGGAGTTTGCTGCATTCTCTCCCTGCCCTGGCTCTGCAGAGTCCTTCCTCCTTTTCATAGAATCATAGAATAGTTTGGGTTGGAAGGGGCCTTTAAAGGTCATCTAGTCCATCTAGATGGGGTCCATCTAGAACCCCCCTACAATGAACAGGGACATCTTTAACTAGAGCAGGTTGCTCAGAACCCTGTCTAACCTGACCTTGCTTTTGGGTAGCACAGTTCTGCTGCCGGTGCAGGCTGCTGATGAACGGCATAGCTGAAGCTTTGGGGAACCCGTCTCATGCTTTTTGTTAAGATGTCTTGTCCTGAGAGAAGAAGAATTGGCTATTGCCAAGACCTAGACTGACCTTGCTAACACTTTATTCATTAAACAGTATCTTAAAACTGTATCAGAAGTAGTAACGTTTAATTCTACATGCTGTACTTGAGAGTTGGATGTTTTGGTGAGTAACCTTTCTCTCCTTTTCACCTCGTTTTTCAGATGTGGAGTCATCACTCAGCAGCCAGTCTCCCGGTTACTCTCCAAGGCAGACAGAGAGCTGTTTCAGCTCTAGTCCTGACATGGTGAATACTGCCCCTTTATGGGTTTGCAGGGGTTCATTTGAATGATATCTCTATGCCTGAATGCATCTAAGGGTGGATGTAGCTGGAATCTTATTTATGGTTTTGTTTTGTACAAGGCAACTTCATGTGCAAGGAAGACAAGAAATGATTAGCTGTAAATTTTCCTAAGTAGTTTAACAGACATGTGGTCTGGTCTCTTGATAATACCAGGCCTTGTGGAATTACAGTAACATAACTGTGGGAAGATGCTAAGCAAGCTTCTGCTCTCTTCCTTGATGTATAGCTGCCTTACATTACATGCCTGTAAGGCAGGAGGATTTGACACACTGTTTTCAGCCATTCTTGAACACAAAAATGCCACAATATAAATTCTGCGTGAGAGTGAAGGTCCGCCTTACCCACCTTCTCTTCAACCAAGGCCAGGAGTACACCCCTGGAGAAAGGCTGAACCCCCCCAAACAACCAAAACCAGACAGTTCTGGCCTTTCTGTTTATTTCATTAACTTAGTTATTAGTTAATCATTAACTTAGTCCTCAGTTATTGAACTATTTAACCAGTTGCATTCACACAATTCTGTTCAAACAGTCTGAAGTGGAAGACACAGCCAAAAAGAAGGAATATCTGAATGAACGGTCCTTGAAGATAGACGATGCCAACCTAATCTCAACCTCAGCAAGTACAGAGCCCCCCAAGACCTCTCACACCAGATCTGTGCCTCTCCAGCCCAGCAGTATTTTGACTAGAGAAGAAGCAAACCATCTTCAGGAGAAAGACTCCATTTTATGTGCCACAGAGGAGGAAAATAAAAACCACACCGCCCCATCTGAGGGCAGCTCATTACACCAAGCCCTTAAAAAAGAGCATGTCACTCGCAGTACCAGGTGTGATGTTTGGTCGCAGACTGAGAGCTCTGTTACAGAAGTAGAGAAAGTGGATGTTGCCACCCAGTGTGGCACCATGCAGGTGTGCAGCTGTGGGAGCTCCCTCCCCTCTGCCCACAGGCCGGGTGGGCCCCCTCCTTCCAGCACCGCAGGCACCGCTGGAGGGCACAAAATGCCAGCACATGAGGCGCTGCAGCCTGCAGGCACGGGCAGCGCAGCAGAAATAGCGGCGTTTTCTTCTGAAGCCGAGTATCTGAGTTTGGCTGGCAGAAGGACTCTAGAGGTGCTGAACTACATTGATATAATGAAGGAGAGAGATAAGCAGTGACCAACTAGAATGGCATGTAAGGAATTCAGAAGTTTTGTCGGGTTCTCACTGTGTTTCATTTAATTGGTGTATTTTGATTTTTCTAGCCTGGTTAGACAAAGTATTTTTTTGCTTTAAATTTTTATTAACTATGGATCTCTGTCTACCTACTGCTATCTCTAACTATGGACTTCTATAGATCTCCAACTGTTAACATAGGATTTTACAATATCTTAGTAAATATAAACCTTAGGAATTACATTTACTTTCCCACCATATATCCATAGGATTCTGTAGTTTGGGATTGACTTTGCTTGTCTTGAAGGTGGTGGAAAGATTCTGTTTCACTTCAGAACATATTTGAAGTGGCTCTTAGTTCAGAACTATTGTCTGATTCTTATCCATTTTAACAGGCAAACTAGTCTTTGCCATATGTTTGTGCTAAATACAAAAATGGGAAACAACAGAAAATGCACATCTGCACACATAGAATAAAATGTAATTTAAAAAGAACTAATTTATTAATTTTTACCCCCAAAAAACCCCAAATGCTGAATGTTCCTTCCATAGCAGATCTATTGATTCATTCTCTGGCTGTTAGTACTGACAAATCTTTTACATGTTTCTGTATTTTGCCTGCAGATTGAAAATCTGAAATGCTTTCCTCTTCCTTTCAGTATTTGTGTGAAGCTACAAATCACAACAAATAAAAGTTTCTGATAATATTGTTTCTAGGTTACATTCTTTCCTTCTAAAAAAGTTCCTAGTAAAGGTGGCAGGGAGACTCAATCTGTTACTGACATCTTCGACTTACACATCCATACACCTTTACTTACATATACATAGCTATATCTATATATCTGTGTGTGTGTGTGTGTGTGTGTGTGTGTGTGTGTGTGTGTGTGTGTGTGTGTGTGTGTGTGTGTGTGTGTGGGATCCTGTTGATTACAAACTGGGCTTGGGCAAAAGCTATGCTGGAGACTATTCCTGAAACAGCGCAGGAGATTTGCTTTTATAAGGTTACTATGTTGTGCTTTCTCACTCGGAGACAGCTGTCAAAAGATTCACTGCCCTTATTGAGTGGTTAAACATTGGAACAGGCTGCCCAGGGAAGTGGTGGAGTCCCCATCCCTGGAGGTATTTAAAAGACGAGTAGATGAGGCACTTAGGGACATGGTTTAGTGGGCATGGTGGTGTTGGGTTGATGGTTGGACTCGATGATCTTAGAGGTCTTTTCCAACCTCAATGATTCTATGATTCTATGATTTTATTCCCACCAGGTTGGTTTCTTTTATTTCTACATTTTGTAATAAAAGGTTTTGCAGATGAAGGGATGTGTGTCACCCAGCCCTGATGAGATCTGTCACTATTCTTTGTCTCTGTTCTCATCATCAAACTAGTGGCTGGGTTTTCTACCGGCTTTTGTTTTTGAAGCTAGGAGCCATTTTTAAAAGGTCTACATTGCCCAACAGTTTGCAGGTTTATGGCTATGCCATTTTAAAAATAGCGTCTCAGAAATGTCAGTGGACTTTTCTGTACTCGGAAGAAAATAGCGCTGTCTTTTATATATATATAAATAGCATACATGGGAAGTGGTTTGCACAGCCGGATTTCTGAAATGTGTAACTATCATTTAGCCAATTCACTGCCCACTTCCTAAGGCTTGACACAAGCAGGTTTTCTTTTTTAGGTTGCCTCAATTTATTGTCAAAGCAAGCTCCCTAGTAATTTTTTTATCTGAAACTGCAATGTTCATCTTCTTCACAGGAGCTATAATTTATTTGAATAACAACTACGACTTGCCGAAAGCTCAGCCATTACCGGTGGTTTGTAAGGCAGAGTTGTTCACTCAGCGTTATGAAGCCCATTCAGATTGTGCCACACCAGCAGCAGTCCACGCTGGCCTGAATTAGGACATCTCCAAGGCGTGCGTTTTCCCAGCAATCCCCCGTGCCTGGTACGTACTTGTGAGCCTTTCCAGTGGCACGTGTCCAGCTTCACGGCCCTCCCCACGGCTGATGCTGCTCGAACCCGCTTGGTCTGCCAGCCTCCTGCAATATGCTGTGGCAGGGGCCAGTGAATGGCATGTTACAGCTAAAAGCTCTGGTGCTGTGTACTTTATATTTGAGTTCCCAATTAGACTGGCAGATTGTCCTGGTTTTGGCTGGAATAGAGTTAATTTTCTTCCTAGTAGCTGGTACAGTGCTGTGTTTTGGATTTAGTAGGAGAATAATGTGATGTTTTAGTTGTTGCTAAGTAGTGCTTACACTAGTCAAGGACTTTTCAGCTTCTCATGCTCTACCAGCAAGAAGCTGGGAGGGGGCACAGCCAGGACAGCTGACCCAAACTGGCCAAAGGGACATTCCATACCATGTGACGTCATGCTCAGTACATAAACTGGGGGGAGTTGGCCAGGGGGCGGTGACCGCTGCTCGGGAACTGGCTGGGCATCGGTCGGCAGGTGATAAGCAAGTGCATTGTGCATCACTTGCTTTGTATATTCTTTTATCATCATTATTATTACTATTTTCCCTCATGTTCTGTCCTATTAAACTGTCTTTATCTCAACCCACGAATTTTACTTTTTTTTCCTCCCCGATTCTCTCCCCCATCCCACTCGCGGGGGGCGGGGGGGCAGTGAGCAAACAGCTGTGTGGTGTTTAGTTGCCTGCAGGGTTAAACCACAACACAGATGTAAAATTATTGCATGGCCAGAGAGCTCTCTGGTGGCTGTGCTTAGAGAGATGCTGAAGTGACCCATCCCTAGGTAAACTGCCATTAACTTGCAGTGGAAGTTATACTCCTGATCTCTGTGAGAGTGGCATCGGTGCTGGGACTTTCAGATTTTGTTTTGTTTTACAGTGAAGTGGGCTACCCAAGTTCAGGCAGATATTCCTGATCCACAGGGCTAGCCTCTGAGCGGGACGTATTCCCAGTTTGCTCCTGTGAACCTACAGGACAAAGTGTGCGGGTCAGAACTGGGAAGAGAGAGCTGGTTGCACTGTATGGACATATGTGTGTAGGGGTTTCAAATGAGGCAATACATCTTTATTAAGTTATCTCTCATCTTTCTAATAATTCAGAGCCTTTCAGTGGGTATAGCTTATTTTCACTTCAGTCACTAATATAGAAGTTTTCAAAATCTGTCCAGTTCCAGCCAGGTTTCAGTCTAGACTGCACCATTTCCCAGTAAGGGCTGAAATTACGCAGCTCAGTGCCAGACACACATTTTCTGACTGGCTGTATGCAAGAGCTGCCTACATGTCTCTAATGCAGTAATTCACCACTTGGGAGATGTCAATCACCATAGATAATCATGTTCCAAAGCCTTTGGATGACAGCATATAAAATCCAATTACTTTACAATTTTTACCTGTAATTGCAAAGCAATCAGAAGAAAGAAAACTATCTTTGTAGAGGTATGTGTGCTGGCAATGATGATAAATAAGGCAGCATGCTCTTTTTTAGCCACTAGAGAAGTATTTTAAAGTGTTTATGTTACTATTATTGCATTAGAAGAGAATCGTGCTTCCTCCTTATCTCAGTGCCAGTCTCCCCCTCTGCTCAGGTGCTTTCTTTCACCTGATTTTTTGGTGACTTTTGGGAAGAGCTGAGTTTGGTTTAATAGGAATCTGCTCTTTCTCAGTGGTAGCCTCAGATTGTGCTTTCTTCAACTGATACTTCAGCAGCTGACACTATTTAAGCCACCGGTATTTGTAACCTGCAGTAATGATCATTGCCCCACTATATGCATCGAGGCACCACCAGCTTTCTCTGAGGCAACGGCGTAGGCAGAGATGTTCCTTGTTCATCCATGTTAATCTTCCTGGAAGTGTGCTAAGCTTCTGGGAAGGCCACAGAAATGTATATGGTTTTAACTGTGTTTGGTGAGAATCAGTTATAAGTTGAGTTTTGCTGGGGAAAGGGACAGAAGGGTACCTGTAATCAACCAAAAACCAGAAGCATTGGTTTAGCATTGGCACTCGTATGCTTCTAAATATAGATGGAAAGAAAAACTCTCTCACTGAAAACGTTACCTTAAGCTTCAGTCAGAAGCAGTTTTAATATGCACCTGGTATCCTTTTTTGCTGTAAAGTAACCTGCAAGGTAAGAATTCGGGCAAAGTTTTCTGGGCAAGCACCAACGGAAGTTTTGTTTCATTAATGGGGCAGTTTATTGCTGGATGTTATTATGCCAAGAGCCTCCACAAACTTTGTAGAAATCCTTATTTCATTTTCGTGAAGGATTATCGTTGTGGGAAATGAGAAGCTTAACTCTTCATACAAGTGATTATTTCTTAGGTGGAAACTGTTTGTGAATTGGCTTTTTAAGGGTCTTAGCAGAGAGCAGATTCAGGAAGGATGAGGTTTCCTGGAAAAAATATTCAACTCTGCCTCATCTGTCCCCACAAAAGTGAATGACCTTCCTGCAACCCTTCTTCAGCCTCTTCTCACTGACAGCTTCCGAGGGGTTAGAGGTGACAGTCCCAGTTACCCACATCAGAGCTTGTTTCTCTGGGGCTGGTGATACTGAACTTCAACAAGGTCTCATACCTCTGTGAGCCAAATACTAAATGCTCTCCCTCTCACCTAGCCACACTGATGTAAATTCACACCCTACACCTCGACAGTGCTCGCTCTGGGTGCTGCAGCTCTCTGGATGTGAAACCCAATGGAGACCAGCGTGCAGTGCCCAGACAGCTGCAGAGGATGCTGATACACCGGCTCCGTGTGAGGCGATGGGGAATCCTGGGCTGAAAGACAGAGGGGTGGAGTCAATGAAGATAAGGTGGGAGGCTGCAAGAGGCCTGTTGTGTTCTTTAATAGAGCTGGGATAAAACATTTCCAGATCAACCATGTTTGTGCACGCTTGCAGAGGGATTTACTGCCACTGTGTCACACTCAGCACCCAGGGCTGGCCTGGCCAAAGGACCCAGAGCTGTGGCTGTTCATAGGATAAGCCAATACATCATACTGCAGAAGATTTACTCTGTTCCCTGGGCTGGAGTAATTCTCAGGAAA